AATGGGCCACATTGATGTACAGGTTCATCCAATGGGCCACATTGATGTACAGGTTCAACCAATGGGCCACATGGATGTACTGGTTCAACCAATGGGCCACATTGATGTACAGAGTTCAACCAATGGGCCACATTGATGTACAGGTTCAACCAATGGGCCACACTGATGTACAGGCTCAACCAATGGGCCACATTGATGTACAGGTCAACCAATGGGCCACATTGATGTACAGGTTCAACCAATGGGCCACACTGATGTACAGGCTCAACCAATGGGCCACATTGATGTACAGGCTCAACCAATGGGCCACAGTATGTGAATAAACAGAAACCTCTGTTCAGTTGAAACTTTCAATGATCAGTGTGGCAACAATGTGAATGTTCGTTATTACAGACATCAGCTGTTGCTGTATATTTTATACTACTCAAGGTAAGTTAAGCAACACGCGATTCTTTCTTATATCTAGTCAATCATTCTGTGACAGATTTACTATCTAGTCAATCATTCTGTGACAGATTTACTATCTAGTCAATCATTCTGTGACAGATTTACTATCTAGTCAATCATTCTGTGACAGATTTACTATCTAGTCAATCATTCTGTGACAGATTTACTATCTAGTCAATCATTCTGTGACAGATTTACTATAGTCTGCTTGAGTCAACATGATAATAAAACTGGCACCATTCATCCAGTCATCATACAATCTGAGAGTAGTGAAAGTGAATCAGGAATTTCCTCAGATTCCAGTCTGGAAGAGTTTTGATACAACCCCTAAATGTTGATACAACCCCTAAATGTTGACATCCTAAGCTGCCCGTGTTTCCCGCCCTTGAGGCTGTTCCTACAACAGTACTACTATAACTTTACCCTCGTGAAAACTTCACATCGGAAAATCAAAACAAACTGATGATAGTTTGTTATGTAACTTTTATTTTGGAGACAAACGTTATGAAACTTTTTCAGAGTTGGTCTGATGTTTTCATTACATTCTGCACTGAAATGAAAAGTTTGATCATGAACCAATTTGGAGTTAGATTGTGATTCATGGGTATCATTTTGACCCCAACAGACTGTATATGTAGATGAAAGAATAGTGTGTTCTTTGACTTACTTCTAGTAGCAGTAGACTCAGGATAAAATGTCGAGGGTCTAGTTTTGTTCCTTCCTTTATTCTGGTAATGAAGAAGGATGATTGTCATTAACTTGTGTCATTTTTCAGAAAATTCCACGAAATGTTGACGAAGATTAATGACCACAATATTGTATGTGTGAAATCTGGTGGAGAGTTCAACATCGCCATGGATACAGAGAACACGGTGTGGGTCTGGGGAAAGAACGACACTGGACAGGTAACCGTCAGTGAAAGTGAGAAAGCCGTGGTGGCTGAGTGGGTTAGATCGCTGACTGTGTGCTGGCAATTAGTTGCCTGAATGAGAGTGAGGGTTCATTCCTGGAAGGGACTCAACCTAACAAAGTACTAGATTCTGTATGCGTCACTGAGAAAGTGTACTCCTGTATAACATATGTTACATTTGACCACTTTCTAAGTGTCGTCGTTGTGTGTTCATGGTTTATTGGAGAGCCGGAAGGTCTCGGGTTCAATCCCTAGCGCATCATACTAAAAGGCGTAAAATATGGTAACTTGTTGGGCCCTGCCTGCCGCTCGGCATTAATGTGTACAACAACAAGGACTGGTCGACTCGAGTCAGTATAATGTGACTGAGTGGGGTATTCATGCGTCACTCTTGCGGTATCTCAGTCGCTCGCGACTATAAAACCAGCTTCAGTCTGGGCTAGTACAATCAGCCACACATACACACGCATGCACGTCATATGGCCGAAATATTCTTAAGTCGCGACGTTTAACCCCATTTCACCTCACCTCACCTCACCTCACCTCACCTCACCTCACCTCACCTCACCTCACCTCCTCATAATTTATTGATCAAGCAGACATAGCAACGTTGTGTGGGTGGTATAAGTCGTTCCATCTTGATGACCTTGTTTGAATATCTATGTGAAGATGAGACCAGTTGTATCAGATTAGTTGTTAGCGCCGCTAACATTGTCCATTTATAATAAGTGTTCATTATAATTTGTCTTATTTTAAGTGAGGATAGAAAGTAAGCAAATTTGATCTTGTGAGTCTGATGGTTACTATGGTTACTTTGCATTCCAGCTTGGTTACCATGTCATTGAACTGTCTAGCCAGGCTCCGACAGACACGGGTCCCGGCAGACGCTCAACTCCCAGCAGTACTGACTTCCTCAATCCCACAGTCCTCAAAGGACTTCCTGCTCAGGATCCAACTGTTATGTCACCATGGCAACAGTCGTTCCTGGCATCCTCAGAGAGAGTGGAGATTCAGAATATTGGGTAATCTTGAATTTTCACCTTTATTGGTCGTGAGTGTTTGTAATCGGCTATGAGGGAAAAGAGTAGTATACACTATGGGGCTACGGGACCAGGTCCCTCCGAAGGGCTCAATTTAAAAATTGAGCCCTTGGGAAGTCCCTAATCCCGTAGCCCCATAGTGTATACTACTACTGAGGTGCACGCAAAATTTGATGAAAATCGGTCGAATAGTTTATGAAATATTTACTTTTAAGTGAGCATGGGGTTACGGTCGGGAAAAGGTAAAATGTCCAACTTTTTGTCGAAATTAAGTCTTAATTAATCTAATGAAGTCATCGAGAGTGCTCCCAATGCCGTTTTGCTATAGCTGCGTAACCATCTGCCGAGGTGCATGCAAAATTTCACGAAAAATCGGTCAAATAGTTTAGGAAATAATCACTTGTGTGTGTGTGTCGACTTTCGGCTTGTACAGCCGACAGGCTGGCTGGCTGACTGGGCTCGCGCTATGTTGATTTCCACTAAATCATACCGCGCCAGCTCGGGCAGTCCCTCGGTCGCCTTCGGCTGTCATCTCGGTAGTACTGAAGCGAGCGTGGGCTGCAGTCGCGAATTGTGTGTGTGTGTGTGTGTGTGTGTGTGTGTCTCGACTCAGCTTGTACAGCCGACCGGCTGGCTGGCTGGCTGGCTGGTTACGTTATGTTGATTTCTGCAAAATCATACCGCAGCTCTCGGCAGTTCCCCGGTCACCCGGCTGTGGGCGAGTCGCGGCTGTGTGTGTGTCTCGGCTCGGCTATTCACCTACAGCTCGCTGAGTTAGCTGGCCGGCCGGCTCGTTATGTTGATGTCTGCGAAACAGTTTATTGTAAATCTCCTATGATTTGTTTGATTTTAAGTAATGAAGGCTTGTCGGGCCTGTGGCTTCCCTTGTTCTATGAATTATTTTTTCTCGTCTTCGCGAAATGACGGTGTTTTACTTGACTTGGTCCTAATCTCTTGTTTCATTCTGTGATATTTTACGATTTCTGATAGCACCAAACGAAACACTTCTTCTTCAGAGATTTTAGAGTCGGTGAGCGTAGTGGAAATATGATCGTCTATCGTGTTTAACTTCGGCTTTAGGCTAGAATTCTAATTTCGATTCGTGTTTCAATGCTTTACGTTGCAGTCTGCGAGATATGAACTTAAGGGTCAGTCCCATCAACCTGCCACTCCGGCTGTTATTTCCATGCCTAGCACCGCGGTTGCGCCACGATGGTGGATAATAACCCGATACCTGCTACGCTAATCCCATGCTGACTGAAACCAGAGCGTTGTCAACACCGGTCCACGGAATTGACGACCCTTTGATATGTTTTCTGTAATGCAGACCGAAAGTATCGCTTTCACGTTCTAGTTGTTGTTTGATCTCGCATATCTGTCGCAGAAATGAACCCGCCTTCACGGTTTCCAGTGGTTTTGCCACTTCATCCCGCGACCGAATACAGTCCCATTCTGTATATATACTCTTTTTTATAAAATAGTATTTAATTGGTCCTCAGTCAATGTTTGATGAATATACTTTAAGCTGATGAGTTTTCGTATATATAAATGGCCTGGAGTTCAATAAAATCCTTTTGAAAAATCATAATATTTAGATTTGTGGTGGGGTTCTTCCCGGTTGTATGCAAATCGACAACGTTTTTGTTGATGGTGATCATGCCAGCGCATTTTTTACCCAAGCAGAAGGTTTATATCTACTACAGGGGCATCTCCAAGAAATACTTCAATAATAAGAGTAGAACCTTGTATCACACTGATCCATGAGTCTGGCACATCAGTATATTTTAGTAAAAATAACGCTGCTTTTTTCTCATTGGGGACAAACATGTTAGCCATTTGATCTGGTAATGGCACTACGCTCATCCACGTTAATCTTCCAGGATCAAACCTCCCAGCAGATTCTCCGTTATTTTTAGCGAGACCCGCCATCATTATTATCCATAATAAGATAGGGGTGGTAAGGACCAGGTTAATAATCCAGTTTAACTGAGATTCGATGATGACTTCTCGCCGTTTGTACACGCGTTATCTTGTAAGCGCATGGCATACCTGAATTGAGCTTGTTAAGCAATGAATGAAAATGAGCTGATGATGTTTTGATTACGCTGCCATGTTTGATCAAGTGGATTGCTTCATGCCAGTTGGATTGGAAGCTGTGATTTCAAAGGTGAGCAAAGATCGCGAAAAATGATCCTGCATGGTTGGAGAATGCCCTGTCCTGTTAGGGTTCTCAAAAGTACCCATGGTCAGACTGAAATGTGTCATTATAATAATGCAGGAAGAGTACAGGCGCTTTCTTTGCATTAATAAAATGCTCGTATTAATTTAATGATTTACGGTAAACACACAAAAATACATTAGTAATTTAGACTAGGTATTAACTCTCAAACATTTTTGTCAAATATGCAACTATTAATAAGCAGTTGATTATTACATATTTAGAAGCGGTGGGGTCGCCTAGTGGTTAAAGCGTTATTTCGTCAGCGAAGACCGGGTTCAATCCCCACATGGGTACAATGTGTGAAGCCCATTTCTGGTGTCCCCGCCGTGATGTTGCTGGGATATTGCTAAAAGCGGCGTAAAACCACACTTAGTGAGTGAGTCAGTCAGTATTTTATGTTAGAAGCTTTATAAGTAGTGAGGAGATTGGGTGATAAAAGAGTGTCAGTATTTTTACATGTACCGTATATGACTGCAGATAAGCCCGAATTTTAAAGCCGACTTAAGCGAACAGTCTGCAGAATTATCTGTGACATCGGCTCATCTACGTTCATATACAGTTCTCTATAGGTTACTTGTTGGCTCCAGACTTCACCTGATGTGCAACCTTGAAATGTTTTGTATAAATACTGAGCCTTGAATATTTCCCTTCACCCACATCTTCCTTGCAGGTGACAGATGGGGCAGTGGAGGACCACCATCTTGCCATGATCCCCAGTCTAGAGAAGGTCAGCAAGGTCAAATACTCTCGCAAGGTCATCCCAGTAGTGCTCAAGGTAAAGTCATGCTTTGCAGTGGGTATGTCTCCGTTGTGTAGTCCCCTGTCTAATCTCCACTGTCTAGTCTCCGCTGTCTAATCTCCACTATCTAGTCTCCGCTTTCTAATCTACAAAAAGACACGTAAAGGTGGTTCAGTAAACATTGGTTGTAATAAAATCAAAGGGACCTAATTTTAGTTCATTTAAACCGTAGTTCAATATATGTATTTTGACTATAATATACCATTAAGCGACCAGGGCCTAGATTTTTGAAGCTCTCTTAAGCTACAATAGTTGTAAGTGCCATAACATTAACTTATGACTATCTTAGCTAAGAGAGCTTCGAAAATCTAGGCCCTGACAAGAAACAGTTAAGTACATCTGTTCTATTTATACATAGTTTACTTTATTTTCTGATCAGCTACATACCTATGTGTGGTAATGGCAACATGTCATTGGAATAATCTAAAGTCCCGTGTTAAACCCCATTTCACCTCAGCTGAAGGAACAAGGAAAAAACGTGTTTCCACACTACTTTCGACTTATACGGGCATTTGGGTAGCCTAGTGGTTAAGATGTTCACTCATCACGCCCGAAGACCCGGGTTCGATTCCCCACAAAGGTACAATGTGTGAAGCCCACTTCTGGTGTCCACGGCTGTGATATTGCTGGAATATTGCTAAAAGTGGCGTAAAACCATACTCACTCACTCACTCTTGACTAACCAGTTTTACCAGCACATTGTTTTGACTAAACAATCCGCTAGAATTGGTCTTCAGTAACCGATGCTTGTTGTAAGGGGCTTACTAACGGGATCGGGTGGTCACGTTCGCTGACTTTGCGGCCACATGTCATCGCATCCCATTTGGCGTGAGGCCGATGCTTATGCTGTTGATCACTGGATTGTCTGGTCCAGACACGATTAATTATAGACTCTGCCATATAGCTGGAATATTGGTGAGTGTGGCATAATACTAAACTTACTCACTTACTCACCAAATTTTCAGGAACTCTTGTGAGATATGAAGGTTTGAATGTCTGTTAGTACAGCTATGGTAATTTTGTGGGGAATCCAACCCGTGTCTTGGCGCGACGAGTGAACACCTTAACCACTAGCCTACCCCACCACCCCATATAAGTCAAGAAGATCTCTGGGCATCTGGAAGAGCACACATGAATGTGGATTAGATGGTCACTGCATATGATGCATGTGAATGATGCATCATGGCATTCTGGGTAGAGCTGGTCCCCAAAAATCTATGGTGGTTGTAAATGGCAGTTTAAAGAAACAAGTGGTCAGGCACAGTGAACTGATAATGTGTCCCCATACCCTGACCACATGGAAATTGGCTCATTATATCAATCACTGGATTGTCCTGTCATTACTTGATTAGCTATCATAAGGCTGTGATATTACCATATGCAGTGCTCAGTCGAGATGTAATAGCAAAAGTACAGCATTTCAAGCCTCATGGTGGATTTTGGATTTAGCTGAATGGCAGCACCATGTAATCTACAATTAACATACCTAATTCGTTGATACCACCATATAGCTGGAATATTGCCATAGCTCCAGATCAGATTTAGCTAATGTGGGTACTGTACCCACTGTATTTGTTTGGAGGGGTATTATGAATGTTGAGTGGGTATTTCATTTCCGCGTTACCCACTGCTTTCAAATATGTGCGTATTTCAGTCATTTTACACACCTAAGTATTGTGTCATTGAGTAAGTTTACTAAGCAGGTATGTCCTGCCTTATGTCATACCCAATCAAAACCAACAATATAAGGGAAATGATTTCATAAAAAATCTAACTTACAGTACAACTTGATAACAATCGATATCTTTTTCATTACGCTAGCGATTTTTTTATGAGTATATTCCAGACGCATTTGTTTTAAACTCTTTGCGTGATCTAACAGTTTAAATGCGAATTGGTCCGCAACAATTATTTTTCAATGCGTATTTGGAAATTTTCTATGCGTATTTTACCCGGATACACAGCTTATCTGGGCCTCTAATTGCTTAGTGCGGTGTTAAACAACAATCAGTCAATCCATTAGTTGACAACACATTAGGCTTAACTCCATCCTAATGTCAGGAAGTTTGTTGTCACTGAAATGATGTTGGACACAACGTGAAGTATTCACCATAGTCATGTCATTTTGTTGATAGTTTTGTCAGTCTTTTGTATTTTATCTGAAACAAACTCAGGAACTAACAAGGCCATTTCCACTTATTTCAGTTCCTGCCTCACCTGTGTCAGATCACCACAGCCTTGATACAGTGTGTTGATGCTGGGGATTGGCTGACCGCTGCCGACCTACACCTCCTGTCCACCTGTCACAGTCAGGTCAGCCATGACACCTATACACTGTCTATAGTCAGGTCAGCCATGACACCTATACACTGTCCATAGTCAGGTCAGCCATGACACCTATACACTGTCTATAGTCAGGTCAGCCATGACACCTATACATTGTCCACAGGTCAGCCATGACACCTATACACTGTCTATAGTCAGGTCAGCCATGACACCTATACACTGTCTATAGTCAGGTCAGCCATGACACCTATACATTGTCCACAGTCAGGTCAACCATGACACCTATACACTGTCCACAGATAGGTCAGCCATGACACCTATACACTGTCCACAGATAGGTCAGCCATGACACTTATACACTATATAATCAGGTCAGCCATGACACCTATACACTGTCCACAGTCAGGTCAGCCATGACACCTATACACTGTCTATAGTCAGGTCAGCCATGACACCTATACACTGTCTATAGTCAGGTCAGCCATGACACCTATACATTGTCCATAGTCAGGTCAGCCATGACACCTATACACTGCCCATAGTCTGGTCAACCATGACACCTATACACTGTCCACAGGTCAGCCATGACACCTATACACTGTCTACCCAGCAGGCACATCAACGTTGTTTCAACGTTGAGAATAGGTTGGTCCTCAACGTTGAAATTAGATTGAAAATAGGTTGAATATGAAAGTTTTTTAGACGTAGATGTCCGACGTGGAATCAACGTTGAAGTTTGACCTATTATCAACGTTGAAAAAAGGTTGTATATGAAAGTTTTTTAGACGTAGATATTCGACGTGGAATCAACGTTGAAGTTTGACCTATTATCAACGTTGAAAAAAGGTTGTATATGAAAGTTTTTTAGACGTAGATATTCGACATGGAATCAACGTTGAAGTTTGACATATTATTAACGTTGAAAATGTGTTGTTCCGTGGTTGTATATGAAATTCTTTTTTATATATTCCTCCTTGGGGTACTTATAAGCATTTAAACGTCCATTTAAATTCCCTACGACAGTTGTAACAATATTTGAATAAAATATTTACAAAACAAAAACTACGATTTTTCCTTATCCTGACTCATGCTCTTTTGCTTGTCTTCTTCTTCTTGCGAACATAGTGGAACACTTGTATCTCCTTATTTGAAGCTCCCTTCAAAATAAAATCACTAATTGGTACTCACCACGAGTAGCCTCCCTTTGTCTCCCTTGGCGGGAAAGGTGTCGCCACCTTCGTCCCATGTGCTTCACTCTCTCCTTCTTCGCCCAGTGAGCAGGATGTGAGAGCGCCTCGTGTCTCCTTACACACCATATCCTTTGATAATCTCTTAGTTTTACCTCTCATAGGTTACTATAGAGGTATAGCTAGTATCCTTTACTATTTGTATTGATTAATTATCGTATTTCTACTGTTTATTCACGTGTATTCGTGATTGTTCAGCTAGCTTTACGTTGATGAAAATCTGTACGATTTGTAGATTACGTTTTTCTGCCTCCGATCCACATGTAATATGCCCTAGTTGTTCTACGCTGTGTGCGTTTAATTCCGTTGCAGTTACTGCATTAATTTATCTCATTCTGCATTTAATAAATATCATCTTTGCGTCTTAAGGCGTGCTGCAGATAGATCACGCAAACAAGGGCAAAACATGGCAGAGAGTCCAGATATTCCATCCAGTCAGCTGCTAGCGATCGACCCTCTCCCGTCTGGTGTTCTGCTAGAGACCCCTACGGTAGAGGAACGTGGGACGCAGTCCGTTACCTCGAAGAAACGACCGGCCTCCCCAGACATCCCGTCATTGCAGACCAAGTCTAAGAGGGCCTCATCGTCGTCTCAACGCAGATTGAGGACACCCAGGGCAGCGCAGACTTCCAAAGGGAAATCTACGAAGACAGCGAGAACTTTCTCAGCCGAGATCGTTCCAGCAGCAGAATTGGGCCTCTACGATGATCAGCCGTTAATCATCCCCGACTTACGGCAGAAGAAGCGACCGGTGTCAGCGACTGTGACTTCTGCAGAGATCACCATGCAGCCTGATGCCTCTACACCGACGTCAGACGTTATTGATGTGAACCCCATCGCAGAAAAGACGCCGACGACTTCGTCACAGATCATCCCAGAAGACATGATGCGGCAGATTATGAACATCATGGAGGACCACTACAAACTGCGTAAGCAGGGTCCGAGCCATCGCGAAGGCTCCAACGTAGACAGCACCCCAGAGGCACCCCCCGTCAACGTAGCAGCCAAGACGATGTCACCTTCGCGAAGGAAGTCCCGGACTACCTTGACGAAGGACCTAGATGTACAGCCTTCGCGAAGGCCTAGATCGATAGATCATCACCATCTTCGATTTCATCTCTAGATATGGACTCGGACCATCAGACATCACGGAGGCCTTCGCGAAGGTCATATCATCGATCCCCCGGACCGGACGCAAATGAAGCTTCGCGAAGGCATTCGCGAAGGACATATGATTCCAGATCCTCATCATCTAGAAGAACATCGAGGGACTATAGAAGAGCTTCGCGAAGCTATCAACATTCACCTCACAAGTCTCCGAGAAGATCATCCCATAGACGATCTCCACTTCGTTCATCACCAGGTCGATCACCCGTCAGATCTCCACATAGAGCGGCGCACAAGTCAACTAGATCGCCACAAGCCTCATCAGATATACAGACAGCTACATGCAGTCCCGAAGAGCATCTACAATTTGTTAATGATGATGGTATTGAGGGATGATGGAGGAATCATATTTTCTGATGCAGATACGGTATTGGATGGTCAATAACCTAGATCTCACATCACCATCTAAAAGTGGCAATACAGCCAGGCGTATTTGATGAAGGAAGACGATCCAGATGCAATCACTTTACCCCCGATCGACCCGATTGCGGCAGTGCCACAGAATCTAGATGCAGCTTTCCAGAAAGCTACGAAAGTTCAGACACCACATCTGCCCAACTTTCATGCCAAGAAGTTCTCCACGCATAACATGGACTCCTTCTACAAGGCCCAGGACATCGATGAGAACTATAAGATCATCAGCGATGTAAAGAACAAGATTTACAAGATGGATGATCGCAAGTTGGCTCATATAGAAACCATGACGAGACGTATGTTCTTTGGGTTAAATAGATCTAGGATGATCAATGAGACTCTTATTACTAGATTCGGGATTCCAATGACGGAAGATGATAGAATGATTTATTCTGCCTTACTTATGCAAAAGAAAGATCAGCAGTTTTAACGGATCATCTTACATCTGTTTCAGCAGCACTGACCTTAGCTTCGTCGTCAAGGCCTCCTCGCTTCCTGTAATTGGGGAGAACTTTACAGCCCCACTTTATACAGCCCCTGGTTAGACAACATCCATCTTTGACGGAGAAATCGACAAAGTAAGCCAAGGAAGTCTCTAAGGATTCCAGGGAAGTCCTTATGATTAAATCGATGGACACACTAGCCAGCGTCATTAGATCAGACTTCACAAAGATACTCAGGCAGATCTAAGTTCACGGGCCTACAAAGAGCAAGAGACAGGAAGATAGCCAGCTCTAGAGGTAAAGATTCTTTTAAATTAGCCCATATGGCAACTATAGAGGAGGATCAGGAAGAGGCAGGACACCCAGAGGTTCCGCCAATTATAGACGGCTGAAACACAGGTTCGAGCGACTGGAGTCTTCCACCCCCAGCCGTTCCAGTACAGCCAGCTCAAGTGGGTGGACGCCTCCAACTACACTGGGAAAACTGGGGAATATTGCAAGACCCTTACGTCTCCAACATTCTTCAACACGGATTTCGTATCCCACTACAGGCCAAGCCTCCGCTGACAATCAAACCCCCCAAGTTCGATTTACAAGCGCAACAACTACCAAAGATAAGAGAGGCTGTTTCATCACTCCTATCCAAACAGGCCATAGAAGTAATAGATCACGCAAACGTCGAACCAGGTTTCTACTCCCCAGTTTTCCTAGTTCCCAAGAAAACTCCACGGAGAAATACAGACTCATCTACAACATGAGCTTTTTCAACAAGAATTATCTACATAAAACCACCCGAGAGTTTCGCGATGATACATTTACCTCAGTTTACGCCAGATGATTAGGTCCTATGGACTACATGGGCAGCATAGATCTACAGGATGCCTACCTGCACATCCCATTCATCCCATTCCAGGAAATACCTACGATTTACTCTAGAAGGGCTACATTACCAGTGGAAAGTACTCCCATTGAATATCATCAGCCCCTGGCTATTCAAGGGATAACGAAACCGATTATCATATTTCTACATGCGTCAAAGGGCTACGCGCGTGCGTTTTACCTCGACGACGGGATACAAGTAGATCAAGATCCACTGCGTCTCAAACTACAGTTAAATTACATCATAAAGCTACTAACACAACTAGGTTGGTTAGTAAACTTCACATAAGTCGGGACCTGAGTACCATCGCAAGACCTGCAGTTCCTAGGTATTGATTCATCACAAATCGCAACCGTATTATGGTACCAGAAGACCGTTGGCTCAAGATACAACAGACCATTCCACCAGCTCTACTCTCTCCGTTACCACCTCGACAATGGCAGAGCCTACTAGGTCTTCTCATTCCAGCCCAAGACATGACTGTCACAGGCAGATTACAGTTCGTCCCCTACAGGTCCTCATCAACGCACATCTCAACGATGTACAACCATTCAGTCTACGAAACATCTCAGACCTCATCTACTATGGTGGACCAAGAAATCGAATGTCTGCGAAGGGATTTGTTTAGTAGAGCAGGAATACAAAACCCATCTGTATGTAGGCAGCGTCCTCCAAGGTTGGGGAGCTCATCTCCACCAACCATCGATATCAGGATTATGGAATCAGCAAGAATGCAAACTCCATATAAACAGTCTAGAAATGAAAGCTGTAATCAACGCCATTCTACATTGGAGCACATTTCTACAAAATGCACCTAATGATCCATACAGACAATTCGGCAGTGGCGTTCTACATAAACAAGCAAGGCTCAACGAG